TACAATAGTCATGCGTAAAGCCCGAGCCTTGGGCATCAGATTTTGGATACGCTGGCAGCGTGGCCCTGCCCCCTTGCCAGGCAGCCTCGCACGCCAGTCAGCAGGTGTTGCCGCCCACAACAGTTGGTAATCACCCGAGAGTAATGCACCCAAATACTGTGTAACAGTGGAAGTCATTACCTCTGCATGTGTAATGCGATCACATGCATCCACGGGCTCGGAGTTCAGCGCAAGCTGTCCGTATGTCCACAATGACAAGTGCACGAGAATGGTAGTGGTGCGACAATCCTCCTTTTTCTGCAGCGGCCACATAGCCGGGCCCACCGCTGTTCGCGGCAGCCGCGCAGCCGGGCTTGCCGCGGCCCCTGGCGCGCACAGCCGGTGCCTGGGAAGAGAATGCAGGTTTCCCCGCGTTTGCTGACAGCACCTGGGTGTTCGGCCTGGCTGAGAAAGCGCGAGCGGCCGCGGCGCGCGCCTGCCCCCGCCGCTCGTTTGGCGATGGGGGCGTCCAAATGCCAGTGCCATGCTGCGCTGCAGAGCCGCTGCTCGAAGTAAAGATATCAAGCTTTTCAGCAGCATCATCCACTTCCGCAGGTGTCCCTGCCCGTGCATCGGGAGGCGTCCACTTCGTGCCCTCCTCGTAGATGGCCTGATATATATATATATATATATATATATATATATATATATATATATATTCGCCTGCAAATTGCGGGGGGCGAAGTCTTTGTCGGCCGAGGTAGGGGTAGTCCCAAAGGACATATTTCTACGATGCCATGTCTGCAAGTTGTTATTCACCAAAGTCTGGATCGTGAAAGCGAACGTCTCGTCGTTAATAGAGACACTGGTGCCCTTCGTATCCTGTGACATAATGTACGCGTGAGCATCATACACAGCAGGTGTCCTTGCGATTGGCTCTGGATCGGATACTTCCTTGACGAGTAATGGAGCCTCTTCGCAGTGAGGGTTGGCCGTGATAGTGAACGACATCGACCCTTGATCCGCAAAGGCCATTTCGTAGTCGTCAGCCTTGAGTGATGCCCGGAGGGTGTCTTCACCAGGTCGAGTATTCCTGCACCTTTTCCGAATAGAACCTTGTATATCTCCACGCCAGGGATGATAATCTTCTCGTGCCCCTGCTCAACGATCAGGATGGCCCCCATGTTGGCCATGCTCCTCAGACCCACGATGGCGGGGAAGTTCCCTCCAGAGCCCTCGTGTCAAGTCTCGGCACGGCAGGTCGCCCCGCAGGACCTCCCATTTCTCTGCGTGCAATCTTGCAATGCAGGGATGTGTCGCAAATCGCGGCGCCATGCCCCACTCCTGATACGTAAAGCCTCTTCGTGAGGCTCAGCCTTTTAATGGCGTGCCCGTGGGAGCGTGATATCTGCTCAAAGGTCGGTGCCGTCTTCAATTAATTGAGATTGATATCACTGCCAATATCCAAAAGAATCGTCAACATACCATGGATCATAGTTACACTGTTAGTTGCCAAGGCTAGCTCATGGCGTTCACCAAATATTCCAGGAACTTCAGACACTGTCGTACCATGCAAGCCTTTGCGGCGCCTCTGCTCCAACACCCAATCATCTCTTGACACAGATGTGGAAAAAACAAAAAAAACACGAGCCTCTTCTTCTGTAATAGGATTCTTTTCAAATATCCAGGCTGTAAGGTATTCGTCATACATATATGGTTGTGATGTGGAGGTAAATTCAGAAATGTGTCCTCGTCTGCGCGCATGTTCATCTGACCATCAATATGTATCCTGAGTACCGTATGCATCATGTCGCGTTCGGACATCCCACTGTTGCCACTGCGCATGCTTGCAGGGATTTCCGTCCTGCGCTGACTGCGTGGACGGAGATCTCGCCCATATGGCATGTATGAGTGCGAAGACTGAAGCAACTGAGCGCTCCTGTCGTTAGCCCTTTCCATGCGCCTCAACCACGTATCGTTCACGGGCGGTGGCGGAACTTGCCGCAGGCAGCTGGATACAAGCAAGTAGCTGCAAAAAGCTGCAGCTTCTGGTTTGTGCCCCAGAAAAGAATTCCCGTAGTGAAAAGTTGCCCTACATTCGCAAGGCTGCTGGGCTTCCCATGCCTCGGAAACCTCATTATTCAGTGTGGGATGGAGTGAGCTGGACATGCCAGTACTGTCATCGTAATTAGAGGTCCGGGGTTGCTTGCAAACTCCACATGCTTTGAGTTTCACCCCTCGTTGGCTGACCTGGTGAGGAGAGCTTCAGAAGTAACGCTCGGTCGCATGCCATGGGTGGTCCCTAATAAGGCCACGGGCATCTCAGCTTTATGTTATGTAAGGTGTGGATACATGAGCGCGGACAGAGCGAATGAGTTCCGAGGGCCATGTCAGCCATGCAGCTCTACACTCAAGTACCTGAAGAACATTTGGAGGGGGATAGTGCCTGAGGGAAACGGACGGAAGCTCTCGACTCTCGACCCCGTGGCCCCTCCATACATCTTCGGCTCTCCCTCTCATCAGCACCCCACGCCCTCTCGGCTGCTCCTGGCTGGTAAGGGCGCCGAGAGCCCTTCGAGCTGACGATTCGGGGGTGTTTCGTGGAGGTAGGGACCCTGGTCGATCTGGACTGTTGCGCGTTCGAGCGCTTGAGGAACGGAGGTGGGGAATACGGAATAGCACGAGGAGGAAGGGGTCGGGTCGGGTCGGGCAGCCCACGGAAGCTCCACGGTGAGGAGACTGCTCCGGCGGGTGAAGCGGTTGAAGAAACGTCCAGCCCAGAGAGAGAGAGGCAGAGACGGTGCAGACAGCAGAAGGAGTAGCAGAGAGGAGGGGGAGGACGAAGGCGGTGCGACACGGCGCTGCGACGCAGCGCTGCGCACTCACAGCTAATACTCCACAGGAGTGCTGGTAAAAACAGCAAACAAATACCCGAACACCTCGACCGCAGTTTCCCTTCTTTCCTGGGAAATGGGTTGGAGCTTCCTCTTCATCCTCCTTGTTCCTCGTTTCTCGTTCCTCGCTCTTCCTCCTCTTCCATTCCTTCTCCTTCTGAATAACTTTTCCCCATCGCACCCCGAGGCTGGTCGGAAGGGCAGACCGAGCGTTTCGCCTGAGACTTCCTCACCATGTATGATCCTGAAGGTTAACAGATGACAACCAATTCACGGATTGAGAGCGGCCCGTTTTCAAACATGTGGGTCTTGCCTTTAGCGCAACGCACATTCATTAAAACAAACTGCCAGAGTTTCACGGATTGGGGCTGGCCCGTTTTGAAAATGTGGCTCTCGCCTCAGCGCCGCGCACACGCGTCTTAAGCAAAACGCCAAAAGTTGAATGGATGGAGGGCGGCTATGTTTCAAAATGTGGTTCTCGCCTCGGCGCCGCGCACATTCGTTCTAAAACTGTGCAAGAGCCTCACGGATTGACTGCGGTCCGTTTTCAAAATGTTGTTATCTCCTTAGCGCCGCGCGCATTCGTCTTAAACAATTGCAGTTCCACGGGCGTTTTCAACATGTTGCCATCGCCTTAGCGCCGCGCCTCAGCACAGTAGCACCAACAGCGTTATAGGGAGCAGAGACGTAGACCCTCACGGAGCCTCTACGGCAACATCTACGACGGACACAACGACGCATGCTTCGCATGATCATCAGAACGCCACGGAGACGCACAACGAAAGAAGCCGGCCCTCACAGCGGCCAGGGACCGAATCTCGACGGCGCGAACAACAAAGCACAAGACCACGAAGACCGCACCAACAGCACTAGCGACGACGCAGACAGCAACCCATCGCAATGTGATGCACCTGACACGCCTGACAAGCACAGCGAAGCCGGCGAAGACAGCACCACCGCAGACGAAATGGAACCATGGGTCGACTACATCCAGCGAGCGACACGACGCGCAGAGCACCTCATGAAGCTCCACCACATTGACAACTGGGACACGCTGCACAAACGGAAAGTATGGCGCATGGCTTCACGAGTCGCAAACCACGACTGGACGAGGTGGACATGGCGAGTGCTGCGCTGGCACCCAGTCCTCAACCCGCGCCAGCGGGGACACAGGCAGCACGGTGGCCAAAACAAGCGTTGGGACGACGAACTTACAACTTACTTACGTCAACGCAGACCAGACCTCCACCGACCGCCCACGCAAGCCCATTCGAAAGGACAACCGAACGACATCACATGGACGCAAACAGCCCAAGACACCGAAACATGGACAGCGCTCGAGCACCACTTCACCGACCTCACGTCGACCAGCACCCGGGACTCAGACCAATGACGTAAATCTCTGCGAACGTTGCGACGTCTCACCCAACCCGCGCCGACACCGACACCAAGGACTTTCTTTTCCTCCTCCTCCCCCTCTCCTCCAAACTTTTTACATGTTTCGCATTGCATGAATCCAGACACCTCAGATCCTAAAGGCCATGGCCTCACCCACCTGGTCTGCTCTAGGCCCGGACGCTGTCGGCAACGGTGGTCGCATCGCATCGCATCGCATCGCATCGCGCCGCGCACACTCGTCTTAAACATTTGCCAACGTTTTCACGGATTGGGGGCGGTTTGTTTTCAAAGCGTAGTTGCGTGGTTCTCGCCGTAGCGACGCGCGCATTCGTCTTAAAACCTTGTAAGAGTTTGAAGGATTATCAAGGTTAACAATGATTCGCATGGCTAACGTCCCAGAAATGGTGTTGTTTGAAAAGTATAAGACTGTCAAGGCACAACAATTATGTCGAATCGCGGTGTTGAAGTCCCTGGAATGGTGTTTTGGCACGGTTCAGGATCGTCGAAACGAAGCAGTAAGCTTGACTCGTGGCATTGACATCCAAAGAACGCTGCTCTGTCTGGCACGATTCAAGATTTTCAAATGGTTGTCTTCCACCGGGGCACTTCCCACAGTGGAAATGGATCCTTGTAGGTGCCCTTGAAGAAAGAGCTTGGAGGGAGGGTTTATTGCAACATCGTTGATGAATCTTGGGTTTACACTGGTCCTCCTCCTCCTCATCCTCCTCCCTCCCGCCTCGATCCCAAGGGGCTTCCCGCTCTTCTGGCCGCCGGGCGGGGCGCTGCGAAGCCGAGGGAAGAACGGCCGCGGGAGCGCGGGGCTCCCACTCCGCGTCCTCCTGGCACTCCTGGATCTCTACGGCGACCGTCACCTCTCCACGACGCGATGAACTTCATCAGAGACGGGGATTGAGCACCGAGCACTGAAAACTGCTTTACCTTTCCTGGGCCTCCAAGGGTATCTGCAAGCATCCGGAGGCCTCCTCGGACCTCTGGAGATCCCCCGTCGTGCAGCCTGCACACACGTATTCAGATTCGCGGCCAGTGGACAGTGGGGCGGCAAGCAAAGGACAGCGGGAACTTGGAAACCTCTCCTCTTTCGCGCCACACCTCCTATCCTCCGAGCTGCTTCTCCGTCCTTCCATGTCTCTCCCGCTTGTCCCTCTCCTCATTCCACGAACAGCGATTGCATTCAAGGGTTCCTACTTCTGAGAGAGCACGTTTCGCGGGCGCTTGCTTGGAAAAAATCTCCACCCACCCTTCCAGAAATCCCGGGGGGGGGGGGGGCGCCCCCTGAGTGCGAACCGGGAGGGGGGCGGGGAATGCCCTCGCGAAAAGGCCCCCACCTCTTCCGGGTTCGAACCCGAGGGGGGCGGGGAAGGGGAAAAGGCGACGACGACGACGTCGATGACGACGACGACGACGAGCGGCGGCGGCGGCGACGACGACGACGACGACGACAATGACGACGACGGACGCGGCGGTGACGCCGCCGCCGACGACGAAGACGACGACGACGACGACGAAGACGACGACGACGAAGGCGGCGGCGACGACGACGACGACGATGACGACGACGGCGAAGGCGACGACGACGACGCGCGAAGCGTCCAATCGGGCGGTGAACTAAATGTAGAATGACAGAGTACATGAAAGACAATCGCCGAAGCCGGTCGGGCCGAGAAAACGAGAAAACAAGAAAACGAACAAGGGTCTCAGAAAACAAGACGGCGACCCAAAGGCCGAGAAAACGAACGAGGGTCAGAGAACACGAAACAGCGACCCGGGGGCCGAGAAAACGAAACAACGAACCAGGGTCGGAGAGAACGAGACCGCGACCCAGGGGCTAAGAAACGAGCCCATGAACCATGCATGGTCGGAGAAAACGAAACAGCGACCCACGTGCCGAGAGAACTAGAAAACGAAACCGCGACACAGGTGCAGAGAAAACGAGGAAACTAGAAAACGAATCATGGTCGGAGAAAACGAGACCGCGACCCACGGGCAGAGAAAACAAGAAAACGAGAAAATTAACCAGGATTTCAGAAAACGAGACCGCGACCCACGGGCGGATAAAACGAACAAGAACAAAAGACAACTGGGGTCGGAAAAAACGAGACCGCGACCCAAGGGCAGAAAAAACGAGAAAACAAACCAGGGGCGGAGAAAATGATACCACGATACAAAAGCCGAGAAAACGAGAAAACTAAAAACGAATCAGGGTCGGAGAAAACGAGACCGCGATCCACGGGCAGAGAAAACGAGAAAAAGAGCCAGGGTCGGAAGCGCCAGCCGAACGCGCGGAACATGAACTGTAAATTTTGCCCCCAATGATTGGGCGTCAACCCGGGCGGGCGGGCGGGACGTTGATTAAGTGAAACCTCCACCGCCGTCAACGTCGTTGTCGTCGACATCGTCGCCACCATGGTCGTCGCCGTCATCGTCCTCGGCGCCAGCGCCGGCGCCGGCGCCGGCGCCGTCACCGTCGCCGTCGCCGTCGTCGTCGTCGTCGTCGTCGCCACTGCCGTCGTCGTCGTCGTCGTCGTCGTCGTTGTCGTCGTCGTCGTCGTAGTCGCCATTGCCGTCGTCGTCCCCCCCTCCCGGGTTCGAGCCTCGGGGTGGGGTTCTCCATTCTCCCCCTTGCTTTCCGAACCCGGGGGGACGTTCGACACCCTTCCCCCCTGGGTTCCGAACCCAAGGGGGGCCAACAAGCGACCACAGAAAACGTTTTTTATCAAACTGGGTTGGTGTGGGAATCTGGCGGCTATGTTGTCGCCGTCGCCGCCTCGTCGCCGCCCGTTGTCTGGGCTGATGTGACGGTCTAGCGGTTACGTTGTCGCCGTCGTTGCGCCGTCGCCTCGTCGCCCCCTTTTTTACAATGCTGAAAAATAGTATGAATTCCCCCCCTCCGATTGTACGGAACCCGTTTTTGTATTGTACTTTACATGCGAATTCTGCCTCATCGTCCATCCTAAATATCAATCCATCTCATCCCAACTACACCGGTATGTGTAAAAAACTATGCGCGCGCACTCGTTTATCAAACATCATCGATTTTCGAAAACCCACCAGCAAAAAAAAAAAAACAAACAACAACAAAAAATGACGAAGCGCACACGCGCGCGTCGTCGAGGGAGCATGCCGAAATCAAAAACAAACTTTACGTTCGGAGAGATTTCAAACTCGAGTGTCGCGGAAACATATAACAATAAATAACGTCGCAACCGAATTTCCCAAAACAAATAAAATGCGTTCGGGCTCTTGCCAATTATGGGGATAATCTGCATGTTAATAATTTGTTACCAAACGGGCCTCTCGCGCGCGCGTGCCGGAATATATATATATATATATATATATATACACATGTATATATATATATATATATATATATATATAGATGCCGCAAGGATTTCATAATCGAGCGCCCTGAAAACGCGTAAAAAAACGCATGGTTTTGCAACATCAGTTTTCAAACAATGTTTGCGCTCGCGCCCCTGCGAATTCTAAAGGGATTTTTAACTAACAGCTCTTGCTGATAGGTTTCTAGTGGTCTCAAAAGATAGCATCATGACTCCTCAGGGGGGTCTGGGCGGGACCCGGACAGGCTGCCGCCGCGGCTGCCGCCGCACTCGTTTTTTGCAAACAGTCACACACTTCGTGCTCTTCGACCTCCCAGAACTCCATTCCCGGGCCACATTCTGAATGCCCGGAGCCAACTGTAGGCCACTTCGTGCTCTTCGACTTCCCAGAACTCCATTCCCGGGCCACATTTTGGATGCCCGGAGCCAACTGTAGGCCACTTCGTGCTTTTCGACTTCCCAGAACTCCATTCCCGGGCCACATTTTGGATGCCCGGAGCCAACTGTAGGCCACTTCGTGCTCTTCAAGTTCCCAGAACTCCATTCCCGGGCCACATTTTGAATGCCCGGAGCCAACTGTAGGCCACTTCGTGATCTTTTAGTTCCCAGAACTCCGCTCCTGGGCCACATTTTGAATGCTGAGGCAAGCTGATGCTGCGACCGAAGCAGGTTGAGGCTGAGGCAGGCTGAGGCCGAGGCTGAAGGACTGAGGCTGAGGCTGAGCAGACTGAGGCGAGGCTGAGGCAGACTGAGGCTGAGGCTGAAGGCTGAGAGGCAGGCTGATGCTGAGGCAGGCTGAGGCTGAGGCTGAGGCTGATGCAGGCTGAGGCTGAGGCAGGCTGAGGCTGAGACCGAGGCTGAAGGCAGACTGAGGCTGAGGCTGAAGCAGGCTGAGGCTGAGGCTGAGGCAGGCTGAGGCTGAGGCAGGCTGAGGCTGAGGCTGAGGCTGAGGCAGGCTGAGGTTGAGGCTGCGACTGCGACTGCCGTTGCCGCTGCGACTGTCATCGCGAATGCGACTACGACCGCGAGAACAGCAGAATTCTACAACTGGGTTTTCATCTGAATCTCAAAAGGAATGCTTTCATATATGCTTCTACACATCGCTGTTAGGTTGCTTTGCTGGGATTTTTCATATAAAAACATGACAGAATCTGCTAAACGGGCCTCTCGCTCCGCATGCCGAAAACATTCGAACGCCCTTGCGCGCGTGCTGGCGGGGGGGGGGACAATGCCGCGCGGGCCACTCTCGCGCGTCGGCCGCGCGCGGATGTCGAATTCCTTCCAAAACCTTCATCGCCGACGCGGGGGCGCCGTCATTGTCGCCAGCGTGATCAGCATCGTCGCCGTCAGTGGCCTTGCACCGTCGTCTTTGTCATCGTCGTCGCCAGTATCGCCACAACCATCATTGCGTCTACCGTTGTCGACGTTGCCAAGATGTCGCGCCCGCGCGCGTCGCCGATTCGCACCGAAATTCCCGGTGAAGTGCCCAGCGGTCAGCGCCTCCGTGGCCGCGTCGGTCGCGCCGCACTACCTGGCCGCTGCGCGCGCGAGCATGCGCGGTCCAGCGCGGCCGCAGAAGCACCATCCAACTTCAAACGCTCATCGCAATCGCCGCCGCATGGGTCCTGCAAGCCAAGTTGCAGGAAGGTGAGATGATTGCGCGAGCGGTGGAATGGGCAACTCATTGCGAACATAAGGTGGTTGCGCAACGTATATTCACCATTTTTATTTTATAATTATATATGAGCATGTGCCCGCCCACCCCCGCACCCCTAATATTATCCCGACCTGGGGATGTGCGATTTACACGCGGCTGTGCCCCGTCGTCGGCTTCGCACGCGAGCTCACGCATCTCAGGCAGGCCTGGGTCGACCCCTTGCAAAAAAAAACAACGCGCGCGCCCGTCCCCCGCGCGCGCGCGCGTCGAAATCTTTCGGGCGCCCTTGCGCGCGCTGGGGGGGCGGGGGGCGACCCCCGTTGAAAAATGCCACGCGGGGCCACTGCGCGCGTCGAAGCCCTTCCAAACCTGCGCGGACGCCATCGTCATCGTTGGCGCGGTCGGCGTCGGCGCCGCCATTGGCTGCGCCGTCGCCATTGTCGTTGTCGCCGCCAACGTCGCCATTATCATCGTCGCGTTTGCCGCGATCGACGTCGACTCGCGCTGACGGGTCTTCGCGGCTTGCGAGACGCGCCGGGAGATATCTGGCGGTCAACGCCGCCGCGGTCGCGTCGGTCGCGCCAGACTAACTGGCCGCCGCGCGCGCGAGCCCGCGCGCGCTAGCGCGGCCGCGGCGAGGCGCCGGCATGCGCCGAGCAATCGCAGAGATCGCCGCCGCATGGCCTGTTCGCGCCAAGTTGCGGGCGCGCGGGCGGGGCGATTGCGCGATCGTGGGAGGCGTTCGCGCGCGGCGCAGGGTAGTCAATTCTCATCTCGTATTAAAAGTACACGCCCCCATCCCCCCAGACTGATCGGTCGCCAGTTTCGCGCGCGCACTTATGTGCGATCCTGGCCC